TCTTTCTTCTCTCATTCTTAACCACTTTTTCTCTCACACGTATCTACTCAATGATAACAAAATATCAAATCATTCCAAACTCCCGAACTCCAAAACTACTTTCAAAATACACAATCAAACAAATCAAAAAAATTTCTAAACTCTCTCTTCAAAACAATTTTTAAAAACCACTCTCTCAAAACCAAACCAAACATTCCCTAAATTTTTTGTTTGTTGTTAATATTTTTAAAATTTTAAGTAATTTTTTTAAAATTTTATGCAATTTTTTTTTGCTTTTTTAGATGCACCTTACTTAGATGTATCTAAATAGTAAAATATTTGTGAAAAATATTTTAAAAAATTAATAAATACACAAAAATATGAAAAATGTACTAAATTTTTGTATTTTTTTTATTTTTGATATTTAATGATTTTTTTAATTTTTTTTTTACAAATATTATATTTTTTAAGTATGTTTATGTTAAGTGTGTCTAAAAATTAAAAAATATTGTTTAAAATATTAAAAAAATTTAGTGAAAACAAAAAAATAAATAAAATAAAAAAGTAAAATTTTTTTGAAAGGTAAATTCTGAAAAGTGAAACTAAACAGAGTGATTTTTTTTTTGAGATATGTATTTTTTTTCTTCATAGGAATCTCAAGGCAAACAAGTTAAGGTTATAAGTTTGGGATACAAATGGCAATGGATCTGGTTTTTTGCGTGAATTTTTATTTTTAAATTTAATTATTTTAGTATTATAATTTTTTTTTATAAACTTAATAATTTTGATTTATTTATCACTACTTTATTCTATCCAATCAATATTCTCTCAAACTATTTATATTAAAATTAAATTAAAACAAACACAATTGGATCGAGAAATTTTATCATCCAGGTGTGATGAGAAATGGGGGAAGAATTTTGGACACTAGAAAGAAGCCGAAGGGCTGGGCGTATAGGGTACCCTAAGCCATGTGGTCGGCTCACATCACTCTTTATCACGTGGGACACTTTCACACCACACACATACCCCACTTGTCTGCTACTCCCCTCTCTTCTTCTTCTTCTTCGTCTTCTTCTTCTTTTCTTGTTTTATTTATTTATTATTATTATTATTATTTTAAATTTCTTTTTTTATCATCATCAAATTCTTCTTTCTGTCCCAATATTTCCACATTTTTTACTTGTATACCACATTTCTCAAATATATATTTTTTTTTTCTTGCAACAAACATTCAGACCATGTACTAACAGTATCAATTAAAGTAAATACATGTCCATTAATTAAGGGTTGGATATAGCTTCCTCTTCAGAGGGCTGTTTGAGGACCACAAAGGAGGGTCTCTTTGAGGACCTAATCTAATTCAATGTGTCTGTTGAATTTGAAGTTATTTTGTGCTCTTAGAATATTGAACCAATATTTTTAAAAATCACACGATTAGATGATATTCTTCTCATATTAGATGAGCATTTCAAGAGATTTGCAAAATCAAGATTGTAGATGTTGATCATTTTAGATGGGATGTTATACAACAGATACTGAAATGTATTTTAGGCAATATTCTCCCTATTTTGGATCTCAACTTTATTGCAACTGCTCTTGAATATATGATACTTTTACTTGAGAGAGTGTTTGAGATGATTTAAATAAATAAATTTTAATTTTTTATAAAAAAAATATAAAAAATTAAAAAGATGATATAACTTAAAAAAATAAAAAGATAAAAAAAATACACTTTTATAAGCGACGCCAAATAGTACTTGAGTAAAAATATCATCTGTTCAAGAGCAGTTGCAATAAAATTCAGATCCAAAATATAGAGAATATTGCCTAAAATACAGTGTTCTTGGAAGTGTTATGCATTTTTCTGATTTTTTTCGTTCTTCCTTTGTCGACAATTTTATTATCAGTTCCACTATATCGTGTGGCTGTTGAGAGCATTGCGATAATGTTGCAAGAGCGCACACTAATTTTTCCTCTTAAAAGCATTCTTTCTGCAAGGCATCTTTGTTGTCCTTATTTAAATTGGTAAGTATATGTATTGTAGTTGATCTTAGCCAAATGGTTGAGAAAGACAACTTTTAATTTTTTTAGGTAAATTATAAATATATTTTTTGAGATTTGATTAAAATACGAATTATCTCTGTGGTTTTGAAAATTACATTCCACCTCCTGAGGTTTCTAATTTCACAACAAATTGCTCTTTTTATTAATAAATCATCAAGTCAATTAACACTTTTTAATGATGTTAAAAATATGTTTCAATTAATAAAATTAATTTTATTATTGTATAGGAGAGTAATTATGAATTTTATTTTTTTAGTTAATTCTGTTAAATAAAAAATTCTAATAAAGAGATATTTATAATTTTTCAAATCACATGTGATAATCTGTATTTTAAGCAAATCTCAGGGATGCATTTGTAATTTATCCATTCTTTAATAATTAGAAGTGTTTTTTAATTAAAAGAAGGGGTAAATTATAAACACACCCCCGAGATTTACTTAAATTATAAATTATCTCCTGTGATTCTACATATTACATTATATCCCTTAAGGGTTTCTAATTTCATAATAAATAGATCATTTTATTAATAAATCATTAAGTTAATTAACAGTTTTTAATAATGTCAAAATTGTATTTCAATTAATAATTCAAATAATTTTATTATTATATAGGTGAATAGTTAGAAATTTTATTTTTTTAATTAATTCTGTTAAACAAAAAATTCTGACAGGGAGGCATTTGTAATTTTTCAAACCACAGGAGATAATTCGTATTTTAAGCAAACTTCAGGGGGTGTATTTGTAATTTACCTTATTAAGTCTATCTGCTTGAATAGACTAATGCTATATGCACCAATTGGTACACTAATTAGTATACTAATTGATGATATGACATAATTTAAGATGTTTTTTATATTTGTAATTGAATAATATTATATGTACTAATTAATGTATATATTAGTGTAATAACAGATGATGTGACATTATTTGTATGGTTTTAAATATTTATAATTTGTATAATAAATGTGGTCAATAATAATATTATAACCCTAGTTGGTACACTAATTGGTGCATGTAGCACTACCGTTTGTAATTTGTATAATAAGTAAGGTGAATAATAATATCATAACTAATATTAATATATTAATTAATATACTAATTGATACATACAATATCACTCATTTAAATACTCCGTCCTCTACACAATTATAAAATAATAATGGTAATAACAATTATGAAGAGCTAATTTAAGCCTTGTTTGTCATCTACTATATAATCCATCTTTTTATCTTTTTATTTTTTTTCCATCACATCACCTCTCTACTTTTCTGCACATCTTTTCGTAAAAAGACAAAAAGTGTACTTTTTTAGTACACCCCAAACCAACCCTTAAACTTTAATGCACCTACCCTTCGAAAATTTAATGCATTCCACATTCAAATTCAATTGGAAGTAACAAAATGAGAATACGCCATGCTTAAGTTGCATGAATTTCATTACGTTTTTGTTTGAATATATAAGTTTTTGAATAATGCTATATGTATTAGTTAGTATATTAATTACTTTAATAAACATCAAACCCAATAAACATCAAACCCAAAACATGAAATTATTTAATAAACAAAACTTTAATTACGATCTGTAATGAAGGAGAAGAAGAGAGAGAGAAGGGTACAAAATATCAAACCCAAATCAGAATCTTCATAAGTTGATGCAGAATCTGTAATGAAGGATTCCATTATCTTCAAAATATCAAACCCAATTATTTAATAAACAAAACTTTATACAGGGGCCATTATAGACATAACAGGAACATACTGTCAAAACATACTGTTTATGATGCAGAATCTTCATAAATAGGGGCCTTCTTGTCGGAAATGGCGGGGTAGGGCGTCGGCGTCGGCGTCGGCGAGGCGGGACGACGATGCCCTCCTCTTTCTGAATCGAAGACATGAATGGGTAGGTGGAGATGAAGGGAGGAAGAAGGAGGGTTCGAGTTTGGGTTCGACGATGCAAAACAAAGGCCTAAAATGGGGAAGGGGGATGAAGGAGCGGGAGATGAATGGTGGAAGACAGGAATAGAGGGTTCGAGTTTGGGTCTCCGGCGAGGGAGAGGAGAGGTGGTCGGTGGAGAGGCAGAGAGAGATGTATCTGTGAAAGAGATTCAAGAACAGAGAGGGAGAGGGAGAGAGATAGAAAGGGAAGGTGGGGAGGCAGACATGGGTAGGTGGAGAGAAGTGTTGGGCGGGAGATATTTTGATCTGAGCCATTGATATAAATTTGAAATTAATCTCAACCATTCAATCAAAATGTATCTCACATACATTTTCATACATTTTCAAAAACTCTCTTCCCTTATTATATAGATGTTATGTACTTTGAATTTAAACTTGCATTGAATGGTTCGAATTTTACTTTGTCAGTTGTTCGGCCGGTCATCCGAATGGTTGTCCGGCAAAAAAGCTAACAACCACGATAGACAAGTGCTTTATCTAGTCATCTGACCGGTCGACCGATGAATACAAATTCACGTCATTCATGCCTGAAACTCTCGAGACTTAAAGCATTAGTCCAAAATAAATAGATGCTATAATAAATTTTGTAAGAAGGATAATCGGCACATCACGTAGACCAGACCCCACTATTTCCTCATTGGTTGGAAAAGCTGAACTAATTACTTTAATTTAAATAAATACATCATACAAGACATTGATTATTCAAATCACTATATTCATTAACCCTATTGTGAATTACGCTCCTCCAAAAAAAACAAAAGAAAATCAAATCCAGTGGCATTTTCAGCAAATTTGTTAAAAAAGTGCCTTAATAAATAAATAAATAAATATTTTTTTTGAAAACATTTAACGGTCGAAAATTAACTCAAAACGGCTCACTAACGCCGTCCACCTCAATTGTCCTGAGGATTTCAAACGCCCCGTAACGGCACAAAATTTGATTTTCTAATTTGATTTATTTATTTATTTATTTGTTTGTATCCGGAGACTCCATCCCCTCTCTCTCTCTACACCGCTCAAGCTCTCAAAAATTATATTCTAACCTGAAAAATCAACACTGTATGAAGTCATCTTCTCACACAAACGCACACACACTCTCTACTTTCTCTCTCTAAAACTATATATATCTATCTCTCTCTGAAGCAGTCGGCATTGTTTGGAGACTCTTTCTCGCTCATCTTCTTCGGCAAGGTCTGTCTCTCTCTCGAACGCCGGCCATTGAATACACAGTAAGAAACTGTTGTTTTCTACTTTCATTTCATGATTTATTTGTAGATTCGGAGTTTCGATCGGTCATTTTCGATCCAACTCTGATTTGTCTTTTTGATCCTTTCCAATTCAATTCCCATTTTTTTTTTACACCTTGCTTCTCTCTTACTCATCTCTCTGTTCTTGAATCACATGCTCTCTCTCTCTCTCTAAATTTTCTCAATGCTGATTGAGTTTTCTCTCTGTCCTCACCATAATGGTGGTTGATTCGTAGATGATGTTTTTTCTAGATTAGATTTGAGTTGACTCAGTGAGTTGGTGCTCAATTGGACTATTGTTTCAGGTGAAATTTTGAGATTCGGAGAATAATTCAGGAATGGAGTCGTCACAGTCGCAGCAACAGAGGAGGGGGGCTTTGGTTTCGCTATCCCCATCGCAGACGCCGAGGTCTAGCGATAAGGTAGTGAGAGATCTGCGATCCGGCGATGGGAGTTCGAGCGGTAAGCAAGATAGGGATAAAGGTGTGAATGTTCAGGTTATTGTTCGATGCAGGTGAGTTGAATCTGAGTTTTGTGTGTGAATTGATTTGATTTTGTGTTGGTTGAGATTGTTTTGTGAATAATGATGGATTGGCATTGCTTAGGCCACTGAGTGAGGATGAAACGAGATTGCACACGCCCGTGGTGATTTCTTGTAATGAGAATAGAAGAGAAGTGCTGGCAATTCAGAACATAGCTAATAAGCAGATTGATAGAACTTTCTTGTTCGACAAGGTTTGGTTTTTCATCTGGATTCCTGGAATTTATACATGTTTGGTTTCTGTGATAATGTAGCTAGAAAATTTAATTCTTTATGAGATTCAAAAACTTTATTAAGATTTTCTTAGCAATCAAGCGTAGTGTAGTTGAGAAGCTCTTGAAGCAATCTTGATTGCTCTAGTGGAAAAGCCTAGTTTCTTGGTTCTTTTGTTTTTACTCTGAATTTTGTTTTGTAGTAGTTGTTGTTCCTATTGATTGGTTTTCAGTGGGAAAAGGTTGTAATTTGTGATCTTCTGTCTAGGTTTTTGGTCCAGCTTCCCAACAAAAGGACTTGTATGATCAAGCTGTGTCTCCACTAGTGTTCGAAGTTCTCGAGGGCTATAACTGCACTATTTTTGCCTATGGTCAGACAGGAACAGGGAAAACATACACAATGGAAGGAGGAGGAAGGAAAAAGGTTTGATTTTCATACCAGAATTGGACTTGGTGTGATTATATTGTATATGTTTATAAATTACCCAATAATTTGTGATATATTCATCCATTTCAACTCATTTGATTTTGTCCCCTTTCTTGTAGAACGGTGAATTCCCAAGCGATGCAGGTGTTATTCCCAGGGCTGTTCGTCAAATTTTTGATATACTAGAAGCTCAAAATGCTGAGTACAGTATGAAAGTTACATTTCTAGAATTGTACAATGAAGAAATAACAGATCTGTTAGCCCCAGAGGAATGCTTAAAATTTGTAGATGACAAATCCAAGAAACCAATAGCCCTCATGGAGGATGGAAAAGGAGGTGTATTTGTTAGAGGATTGGAGGAGGAGATAGTATCCACTGCCAATGAAATTTATAAAATATTGGAGAAAGGTTCTGCTAAGAGACGTACAGCGGAGACTCTTCTTAACAAACAAAGCAGCCGATCTCACTCAATATTTTCCATCACAATTCATATTAAGGAGTGTACTCCGGAGGGGGAGGAGATGATTAAGTGTGGGAAGCTCAATCTTGTTGACCTTGCCGGTTCTGAGAACATTTCACGCTCTGGTGCAAGAGAGGTAATACATAAATAAAAAATGTAAATCTTTTAGTTTGATACATCCACTTATGCGTGTTGGAAAATCCACATATTACAACAAACTAAGTAGTTTATAACAATCTAAATTTTATAAATTCTTGCAGGGTAGAGCCAGGGAAGCTGGAGAGATCAATAAAAGTTTGCTTACACTTGGTCGTGTCATTAACACACTTGTTGAGCACTCTGGTCATATACCATACAGGTAAATTTTTGTTAATTGGATTTTCAAGTCACAGGTAAATTTTTGTAAATTTTTGTTTTGACCTGTACAAAGACAAATTGAAAAGGTACTAACTTCTTGGAATATCAGGGATAGTAAACTAACAAGGTTGTTGAGGGATTCTTTGGGAGGGAAAACAAAGACATGCATAATTGCCACAATATCACCTTCTATCCATTGTTTGGAAGAAACGCTCAGCACTCTAGATTATGCACACCGGGCCAAAAATATCAAGAACAGACCAGAGGTCAGTAATTTGGTCGTTGTTAAAGAGAAATAA